GACTCTATGGAGAGTCACATGTACATGAGTTACATGAGTTACAACAGAGAGTTACATGTACATGAGTGACTTTATTCTATTTGCTTTTTAAGAAGGTAACCAAAAACAACGTGCCTGCTGAATGAGAGGAGAGACACTGGAAAATCCTAGGAAAAGATAATGGGATTAACTTTAAGAAATCATAATAATGATTTGGAGAGAGAGAGACAGAGAGAGAGAGAGAGAGAGAGAGAGACAGAGAGAGAGGGAGAGACAAACCAAGAAACAGACTCTTAACTATAGAGAACAAACTGGTGATTACCAGATGTGAGGAGGGCAGGGGGGTGGATTAAACAGGTGTGGAGACTAAGGAGTCCTGCGGTCATGATGATCACCAGGTGATGTATGGAAGTGTTGAAACACTGTATTGTACATCTGAAACTAGTATAACACTGAATGTTAATTAAACTGTATTAAAATAAAAACCACTAACTAAAGAAATAAAATTGAACAGTAGAGAAATGAAAAAAAGTAGTCATAAAAATGATATTTAAAAGGGAGTGGATTGGTGAGATATTCCAGAGATAAAATCTACAACTGATGGTGGCCAAGGGTGATGGGGTAAGGGTTTGGGTGATGGAGAGTGGGAGATACAGGCTTCTAGTTATGGAATGAATAAATCACGGGAATAAAAGTCACAGCTAAGGAATATAGTGATATTGTAAGAGTGATAATGTAATGGGACAGATGGTAACTACACTTGTGGTGAATGTAGCAAAATGTATAAATCTGTCAAATCACTAAGTTGTACACCTGAAACAAATGTAACACTGTGTGTCAGTGATGCTCAATTAAAAATATATGCACATGTTTTACAAAGTTAGTGTATGTATGAAGCAAGGTGAGAAAGAGTGAGGCACAAAGGATGATTTGGACTTCTGTCCTGGGGGTGACAAAATACAATTATACTTTGTATTTATATAGCATGTCACAATTTACAAAGCTCTTTCATGTATGCTGCATTCCATTGTTTCAACCATCTGTGATAAATTAATATGAATTAAATTACAAATAAGGTTTATATAACAATCTTAAAAGGCTCTGACCACTACTAAGTACTTTCTTTGGGAGATACTATATGCAGGTACCTTTCCCAGTGACCTTTCTTCCTTAGAAAGTAGAAGTTGACTTGTGTTCCCCATTTTGAAGATACTTGTGTACACCTATATTGTCTTTGATTCTCCCCATGTTACTAGAGGAATGGATTTTTACAATGTCTTATTTAATAGGCATATAGTTAGGTCTCTGAAAAAAAAGTGATTTAGATAGTACTTCTCAAGCCTTTAAAACGCATATGAATCATCAGAGAATCCTAATAAAATGCAATCTGATTCGGGGGATGAGGGTCTGAAATTCTGCATTTCTTAAGGCTCCCTGCGATATCTATGTTACTAGTCCATGGAACAAATTTTGATTAGAAAGGATTTAGACCAAAGCCACGCATACATTTGTACAGACACACAGACACACACAGACACACACGGAGTGCCTTTGATTAAGCAGGTGTGCCATTCTGGGATATTTGTATCTTATTTCACTTCAAAAGTCACAATCATTTTCTCACAGGTTTCAAGACAGACAAAAATTGCTACTAATTGTATACATTATATGTGTGTTTTTGTGTTTTTCAGGAATGTAGCTACATTCCATTTCTGTCGCTGTTGGCAAGGATTCTCCTAAAGGTCTCTCAACACGTTAGTGGTCTTTTTCAAGAAGAGATCTCATAAAGAACCACCTCATTGTTAGTTGTTCATTAATAGTTCTCTTATTGGCAACTTGGATGTATGCCTCTTAATTTTGCAAGTATTTTAAAATTAAAATTACTTCCAAAGCATTTCAAATACTCCTGGCAATAACGTCTGCTTGGAAGCAGAATTTCTAATTCTCCTCCCACAGGTCTTTTCTTTTATGGTTCCATAGCCTTGTGGGTTTCCTTAATAGTCTGAAATTCCACAATATAATCCATGTGTGTTGAAAGACATCTGAAATCATCGACATGCCTCAGGGTCTCAGGATTGAGCAACTATCAGCTCTGTCCTCATGTAATTGGACTCTAAGAGGTCATCTCCCATTTAGGTCCAACTCAGAAATTCCTTCTCTCTCTTTCTCCTCCTCTATCCCTGTACTTCCTCTTAGAGAAAACCCATTCATGGTTCAGACACGTTTCTTAAGGAATGCATTTTGATCTCCATGGAAGCCTGTCAAGTCAAACTTCAAGAGATAGTACCTTTTTGTGTACATGACAGAGAGGTAACCTTGAAGGCAATGGTTGATTTTTATGAGATTCTAAGCAACAGCTCAGCCATCCTGAAGAAAGGCTCATCTCCTTGGGCAATAGAGTCCTTTAGTCCTATATATGCTGGACAGCTATATGAGATATATTGAAAGGTATAGGTTAATCAGTGCTAGCACTAAAGTCTCAAAAGTCCTAGGATCTTTGAATGGATGTCCCCAGAGAGTATGTTGCCCAACTTCCTATTTAGTTCAGGAATCCTTAACACTGTGTCTTTGAGATTCATTCAAGGTGCCATGCATGAGTACCTTCTGAAGGGGTAAGACACTAGCTGGACAGCTCCATTTGTTGGGTATCTGTAACTGTGAGCAGCCACATGCATTGTCTCAAGCTACTCTAATTTTTGTTATTATTCCTGCTTACCTCCTGTGCTTATATATTCTTGCCTTTTCAATTCTACAGTGTTAATTAATTTCTGTTTACAGCTTTCAGTATTGCACCTTAAGCTCTCCTAAATGACTTCACTTTAGGTAGGAGCTCAATACTTGCTAAAATACAGTGAAACTTGAACTTTGATACGTGTTAACATTTAAGACTGCATCTCATCACTGTACTTTGAAATTCAGAGAAACTTCTGGCTTCAGATGCCTCACTGTTCTCTTCAGGAATTTGATGACGTCAATCTCGCCATAGGATATGTACCTTTTTTCCTCCCATTTTTGGCTGCACCAATGAAGAGTGAAACAATATGCATCAGGCCACACATACTGCTGAAGACCCAACTGGGAATATAGCCCAGGAAACTTGGCTCCCAGTTCGGTGTGTTTCTAACCACATGACCATCATTTCTGATGACTGTAAATTCACATAGTACTCTTCCTGCCGAAATATGCAGAAGACAATCACATTGGCAAACTGGACAAGTCAGTGCAGGTTAAGTAAGTTCCTAAACTGAATAGTGTGTATTTTCCAGGATTCCTGTTGCCACTGACTATGAATTGTCCACATTTTACTAGTGATACCATGACACATGGCATTTTTTGAGGGTCCTTCCATTGCAGATTGCCCTAACATTCACATTCTTGGCACTTGTCTTGCTGGGCACGGCTTTTGCTCCAATGCCATCTTTCTGAGAAGGAACTTCTAACTGTTGTCAGCCAGTTGCTGCTGTTAAATTCTTCATTGCTTCTGTGCTATGCCCTCCACTATGCTTCCTGAGAGGCTGAACCCCACTCTGCTTAGATTTCAACTATATGTTTTTAAACCTGAAACAGATGTGATCTTGGCTGCTGTCATTTTGTTAGGAGCTTCTCTATTTGCATTATATACAAGGCAGGTAAAAGGCAGGCAATTTGCTGCCTCACTCTTTGGGGAAAGAAAAAGGGGAGAGAGGGTGAAACAAAACAAAGGGAGAGAATAAATACATAAACTGGAAGAATAAAGCCACATGGAGACAGAAAGTACAACCACTTGAGCATCTATTATCCTAATATCATATGCTATAGTTTGGCTACTACTGATCTGCCTGGCATTCCTCTTGAATCATATTTGTGGCCACCCAGATTAATGATGTGAGCTGATCTCTTGATTTAATATCAGCTTGCTCTTTTCAGCTCCCATGTCATTTACTATCTTAAAAAAAAATGTACTGCTTGTTACTCAGCCGTCTCTGTTTTCAAGAACTCAGTCTTCTTTTATTTTTTTTTCTCTCCTTTTTTATGGGAACCAGGAACTAGAAAGCATTAAATGAGGAAAATTAACCACTCACAGAAAAGGTAGAAGCCCAGAGAAAAAGGGGTTTGTCTTTTATGGTTTCTACTTTGTAAGCTGTGGGTGTGACTCAATTTCCTCACCACCCACATAAAAAGGTTGCCACCCAATCACTGTTTTTTCTATCCCAAACCCCTCCCCTTTGATTTTGGCTAGGAGAGACCCTAAGAAAGACTGCCCTTTCTGGAAGTTGCAGACTGTGACATATAAAAGCTGTTAGCTGCTCCTGCAGCCAGCAGCATTCAAACCTTGCAGAGTTTTGCTCTCTGAATTTGTAATAAGACACACTCTTACAAGAGTTCATGCTACAACCTAGCAAAGAACGTTAAATTTTTGGAAGAACAGTATATTCATTTTGGCATTGTGCAGAGGTAAGCTCTTTAGCTCGACAAGTTTATTTTGCATGCATTGATTTTATACTAGCTCACATTTTTATTTTTATTTTTTAGAAATGAGATTGGCTTATTATAAGTTTTTTGGTATGTATTCTATCACTTGGTGTCCATATATGTCTGGGACACATTATCAGCACATTCTCTGTTGTTAACTGTGATGCATTTTTCCTTCTCACTCTCAAGAGTAATCTCAATTCCTAAAGAGTTCCCTCTGAATATGTGCAGTAATGCATTATGTGGTACAGGCATTTGGGGCAAGCGGTTCACATTCATTGTAGGGTTTGTAGTCACACTGTTTATTTTTCTCTAGCTATAGGCAGTTTCTTTTAGGTATCTGACTCGTAACACCAAGTAAAATGTATAACGACTACTATATAGGTTGTTTCCTAGGCTTGAGTTCAACATTTGTTTGAATTTTTCAGAGAAAATCAAATAAATGCTCCCAAGTGATGGCTTTGTAAATTCATACCCACTGGACCCCCCCTTTTTTTTTCTTTTCATAGACCCTAACTCTATCTTTCTGCTTTAAAGCAAACTCGGTGGCCTCTTCTCCACCCCTCAAAATGATAGCAATCTCTGCAGTCAGCAGCGCACTCCTGTTCTCCCTTCTCTGTGAAGCAAGTGCAGTCGTCTTACTCAATTCCACTGACTCATCCCCGCCAACCAATAATTTCACTGATATTGAAGCAGCACTAAAAGCACAACTAGATTCTGCGGATATCCCTAAAGCCAGGCGGAAGCGCTACATTTCGCAGAATGACATGATCGCCATTCTTGATTACCATAATCAAGTTCGGGGGAAAGTGTTCCCACCAGCTGCGAACATGGAATATATGGTAAGAGGAGTTTGTTTCCTTTAAGTTCTGGGTGAGGACGCTGTATTTCGATTGTTCGTTGAAGAATCTAAACAGTGGTTACGTGTAAAGGGATATGGAGCCCTGCACACATTTTAACTTAGGTTCTTATGTGCATAGTAAGCTTAAGTTTTGTTCCATCATGGAATTAAAGGAGGTAGGTGGGGGGGGGGGGCAGTTCTCATTTTCTTTTGTGAGTCCCATAACCACTAATGAATCGGTCTTATATAAGAAACAAAGATAAAGAGCGGGGTATGTTGACTGACCACATTTGAAAGGTGCACTTTTTAAGGAAGACTCACATGGGATTTTTCTGTGCTTTGTTTATCTAACAATCATATTTATAAGCTCAAACATTTCTTGAAACTAACTTTTTTAAATTACAGGTTTTGTGTCCATGATTTGTCCTCTGGGTAGGTGTCTTTTCCCTTTCTTGGACAAAGCTCTTCCTGACACGGATCTATTTGTATTTTCAGAGAACATGCTGACTTTTTCCTCTTTGTGATTTAGTGCCTTGTTGTTCAGATAACAGTGAAGCCAGCACACTTGCACACTGTTCCAACTTGCCATGAACACATTCTTTGCTCTTTTAAAAATAGGCACGCTGTGTTTAAATCATCCTGCTTAGGAAGTAAAAAACAAAACAAAACCCTTGAGTTGGTATTGAAAGGATAGATGTCTCTTTAAAGTTACTTTATTTTTTTGTTTCGAATTATGCAAGGTTATGGTTTAAAGTTCAGCACCTTCTGAGAGCACAGCTTGGAGACTGTTTAAGGCAATGAAGATCACCAGTCTGGTATTTCTCAGTTGGGGTCGAGGGTGGGGGTGGTACCACAAAAAACCTTTTATAAGTGCTCACCCAAAAATTTAGTATTTCTATCAGATTCTAAAGTCACCTTTTATTTAAACAAGCTTTTTAAGTTTGACTAATTGTAGATGTCAGTTACAGGAAAAATAAAGGCTTGCCAAATATAAGAGAGTCATAGTTCATAGAAGTACAATTTAGACTCCCTGAAAATGCAGTTTCTTAGGATTTTTTAAAGGAAGAGGAAAAGAGGATATAATCAGTTCTGGTGTTATGAATGGCAATATAGTCTCATGACTAAGAATATGGGCTTTGGAATCTAAATGCTTAGGTTCACACCTCAGTCCTGAAATATAACATGCATGAATTTGTTATTGCATTTTCATCACCTTTAATATGAGGATACATGTAGTATCTGCCACTTTGGGTTGTTATCAGGAAGGTATGAGTTGAGGGTTTGAGCAATTAGACCAGAGCCTAGAGCGAAATAGACTTCAATAAACATTAGCACTTTCTAGAAGGTGATACACCGATGTAGCAAAAAGAACAAATACGTTTTTTTATTTAGCATAAATTGTGAGAGCAATGTGCATGAGATTCTACGTGAGATCAGAAAAGCTTAGTATGTAGACTGTGAGTTTAGGAAAGATTTCCTCTGCCAATCACATGGCTATGCAGACCAAAGTAGGACCAAGGCCACTGAAGTGCTTTAGAGGCAAGATCCTCTGAGTTCAAACCCTAACTCTGCTGCCTACTTTGTGACTTCCTGCAAGTTACACAATGTGTATGAGACTTAATTTCCTTATTTTTAAAATGGGAATAATCATGTAGATAATAACCGGGGCACCTGGGTAGCTCAGTCAGTTAAACTCGTAACTTCGGCTCAGGTCATGGTCTCATGGTTCTTGAGTTCGACCCCCACGTCGGGCTGTGTGCTGACAGCTCAGAGCCTGGGGCCTGCCTCTGATTCTGTGTCTCCCTCTCTGTCCCCCTCCTCTACTCATGCTCTGTCTCTCTCTTTCTCTCTCAAAAACAAATAAACATTAAAAGATTTTGAATTAAAAAATAATAATATAGATAATAACCAACCAATATATAATACAATTCACTATTTTAATGATAGTGAAGGCAGAGGGCTCATCATGAGTAACATTGGGGTACAACACAGTATTAATGGTTGAAAAAAAGCCACATTTTTCTGGTTATATTTTCCCCCGCTGGTCAAGAATTAATTCATTCCGAATGCGTTTATTTTTTTTTTCTACATGCCAACGAGTTGGCTAATTGTTTTTGTAGATGATCTCATTTGATAGCTCACATTCTCCCTATGAGGTTAAGATTGTGATCTTTATTTTTACAAATAAAATCACTTCGACCTAGAAAAGTTAATGAGTAGGCCAAGGTGGTATTGATAGTGAATGGTATTAATAGAGTTAGAATTTAAATCTGTGTAATTTCAAAGCTGATGCCTGTGTTAGGAAGCCTCTTTTCATTTGCTAGGTTTTTATGTTCCATTGGGGGAAACTCCTAGAGGTGTCAGGACATCTTTCCTCCTTTAAAAATACCACCTGAAATCTTGTAATATGCATAGTCTTTTCTATTAATATTTCTCTAATACGGGAGCTATAATATGATTTGTTTTGTAAGACCCAGATACAGTGCTGGTTGTATCAGTAGATGGATGCTTTATAAATCCTCTTTCACTTAGTCAAGTTAATGAGAAGCAGTAATTAGCACAGTAAATCCTATAAAATAAAATGACTGTCTCAAATTGTCATGTAAATACTGCATACACTTCATTTGCCCATGTATTTATTTAATTAATATTTATGGAGCATTTATTCTATGTCAGGCACTATTGTAAACACTGGGGTACATTCATGAATAAAATGTATCTGGTTCCCCTGGGTGGAAAACCAGAGAAAAAAGAAGATAAATAAATAAACTATATGGTACATTAGAAGGTGATAAGTTTGAGGAGAGAAATAAAGCAGGCTGTAGGCAGGTTGTGAAATTGAATAGGGTGGCCAGGGAAGGGCTGGAAGAAGTAAGGGAGTCAGGCACACTGATAGGTGAGGGAAGAGCTTCCCAGGTGGAAGGAAGAGCCAAGGAGAAGGCCCTGAGGTAGGACAAAATTGATTAGTTCAGTTAGAAAAAAAAATGTGCTCAATTTAATGAAATTGTGGGTTAGAAGGATGGTTTGACTAAATTGAATCATTGAAATAATTCATGTGGATCCCTCGTGAAGACTCAGAGAAACACTGAGGGAAGTACAATGTAATTGGCAGCTTGGAGTTGGGAGCAGAAACTGTTAAGTGACTAATCTCTGGGCCAGGTGAAAAATACAGATCTCAGTTTAACACTACTACCTTCATTTTAACATGTTCAACATTGATTTAGATTGTGAGCAGTCTGAAAGTGAGCTTAGTTCCTAACCTCTACTAGGTACCTCAAAAATTTAGGATTCTTAGCTCACTAGGACCACCAATTGTGTCTTCAGATTATCATCATCAGTGAGTGATAGCAGCCATGGGAGCCTCATAGAAGAGGGTATTCAGCTCAGGGCTTTTTCTTTTCTTTTTTATTTACTTTGGGAGAGAGAGTGCGCATATGTGCAAGCCAGGGAGGGACTGTGAGGGGAGAGAGACAGAGAGAGAGAGAGAGCGAGAGAGAGAGAATCCCAAGCAGGTTCCACACTGCCAGTGGGGAGCCCAACCCAGGGCTCAAACTCACCAACCGTGAGATCATGACCTGAGTCAAAATCCAGAGTCAGACACTTACCTAATGAAGCCACACAGGTGCCCCAGCCCAGGGCTTTCTTTAACTGTGTGGCCTGATTTGGGTCCCTTTTACCCACAACTTTTTTCTCTGAACCTTTTTCCCATGCTGCCTCTCTCCCTGTATCTCCTCCTTAGGTTATTCCATGATCTACAGCTCTGCCCTTCAAGTCTTAGAATGCTGTGTCTTTTATATATATATATTACCCTCACAACTATATTTGATTTCTCCTTCTTTTAACTTCTTTAAGTAACCATTCATGTCTGTTATTCTGCTGTCATCAAAATTGAACTCAGTCTACGCTTATTTGTATAGATCTTGCAAACTTTCTAGTTTTAAGCTTTCAGGCCATGTTTATTCACCTTCATATCTCCATGTTTTAAGCAAATTCTTGAGTATAGCAGTGATCAATATTTATTTGATGACTTTAGTTGAAATGTCTATGAATTGTTACATGTTTATAAGTAGCATCAATTTTGGTATTACATATTTTAATGAAAGTATTCTCATCACATATGATATTTTATCACATGAACCTGAAGTTTAAATAAAAGGTTTTTCCTAAATTTTAAAAAAGCCCCTTAAAATTAAATGATTTTATCATCTTTTAAGTACTTGGTTATATCAGTGTACCCTTGACAAAATAAAGTAGAAAGCAATTTGAACTCTGAGTGTTGACATTCATGTTATACTTGTATAATATTTGCTTTGGATATTTGGCCAGATTTTAGTAAAAAACACCCACATATTGAAAAATTTTATTTTCTAAACATAGTATCTTTTTTTAAAAAAATATTGATAGGGCTTAAGATATGCAAGTCAAACTTCTTTACTCTTGGCCTCTGTTCCACAATTAGTTTATTGACAAATTTCCAGAGCTCCTTGGACACCAGCTGTTTTTCATTCTTCTAAGGGCAGCTTAAACCATGACTCTAAACCACAAACCACACTAGTTTCTTAGAATAAGAATTATCCCTAAAAGAATGAAATTGCAAGACTCACACATGGAGTAAAATTTGTAAGATATTCCTTGAATTCAAGTCAATTGAACAAATTGATTTTAAAAATGATGAGGTCCCTCCATGAGAGGATAAGATCCACTGATAACAGAATCTTTTTCTTTAAAATATAAACAAAACCATAAAAAAAAAAAACAACACAGGAAAGAAAACACTAAGTATATAATTCAGTGTAATACGCTGCTGCATAAGATTGATGTAATAAATGAGGTACAGAAAAATACCATGGAGAAATCAAAGAAAGAAGTGATAATCCCTGTTGGCAAAATCATGAAAAGGCTCCTTGAGGGAGGAACATTTGAGATAGATGCTCAGGAAGGGGCAGGCTTGGCTGTTATAGTAGGTAAAGTAACACATGAACAAAATCACCAGGAACAAAA